ATAGACAAAATGTTAGTCTGTATAGACCATTTTGCAAGATGTAAACAACACTGGTCCAGAAGCACTTCCTGTTTCAGTTTTTTAACACTACATAAAAGCTGGGATAAAATGGGCTATATGCACGCATAAGTTCCGCATTTGACGTAAGGATGCTCGTCCATTTCCGGTTGTGTAGATTAAAGCGGAGGAAAACCGGAGAAAACGGGATTATGGCAGAGTCTTCAATATTTGCTGTCCTCCCGTCTTTGAAACGAAACGTACATACGTTTAGATGTAATTTTATATATAGTTATGTTTATTTAATATAATTTTAAAAAGAAGCATAAACACAACGAGGGGTGTCTGTTTTATCTGTTTTTGTGACTAACGTTTCATTAGTATAACTATGGAGTATAAAATTCAATATACATTCTCGGTATTGCATTGGACTCTATGATCGGCGGAAGTTATCGAGCATCCCTAATGCTTCACCGGAAATAACGCCGTGCATAGAGCCCATACAACCAACAGAACATATAAAACTGAAGCAAAAAGTTAAACAAACATCTTTAGGATGTTTTCTTTACATGTGAAATAAAGAAAACGGTTACAAACTGAAACAGGAAGTGTTTCTGGACCAGTGTTGTTTACATCTTGCAAAATGGTCTGAGCGAAGGTCATATTCGGATTCATTGGAAAACATTTAATGTATGTGAAGATTTTTCCGAATTCACCTTTTGTGTCTGACAGAGAAAAATAACACCATTCAGATTTGGAACCGCATGAGGGAGAGTAAATTATGACAGAATTATCCTTCCTCCCGGCAGCCTCATCATCTCACTGACAAGAATGTAAGACTCGGATTTTGGATTTAATAAAACTGCGACTGTTATTGGTAGTCACAGAGAAATGTTCCACACATTCCATTACATTTCTGCTCATAAGTGCAGGAGTTCTCCAGCAAGATCACATTTTGGTGTTGCAGCACTGGATGAGTGTAAACTTTAATGGAGGAGGCAATAAACACACACACATAACGTGGTTTATTTGCAGTGGGCAGAGCAATAATCAGTTCAACAGAGCACAACTGCCTGAGAGAGAGCAACATCTGAACGGTGATTTGACTTTATTTTCAGTAATCCGGGTCCATGTGTTTGTCCGTGTGTGCCAGCAGTATTAAAGGTGCTGTAAGTGATTTGGCTCATTTCCATCATATACAAAATCTCTCCAAAACCCTGCCCTCACAGACATGTCCAACACGATATATGCCAAACTGGAACATTCAAAATGATTGACAGGCAGAGAACATTTCTAATTATCTAGTTCTCTGATTAACTGGACTATCTTTCAGATTGGCTATGTTTAGAATTGCAATATTAATATAGGTCTGCTACTACGTATATATGCATAATGTGCACAAATAAAACCAGAATGACCTGCAAAGTTTTGCTAACTATAAGGCAAGGCAAGTTTATTTATATCACATTACATGGTGCATTCACAAAATAATTGTAAACATAAGATAAAAAAATCTAATAAAAAAATGTTTAAAATGTCATAACCTCAAAAAAGAATAATCGAGAAAACATAAATATAACACGCTTAAAAGCTGTATGCTTGACCTTCTATTTACAGCATTGAATGTGTAATTGCAGTCATTTTAGCTTGTCTTTTTTGACTCATCATTTAATCAGACTGCCAAGTGTTTTGCATTTTAACACAATATTTAATGAAAAGTGCAAAATAGCCATATCTATTTTCAGTATAATAATTGGATGCCAAATGCAAAGTCATTGTGACACTAGGATACTTTTTAACGTTTATGAGAGAATAAAGCCACTATTTCACTTACCATTTAAAATGTAAAAAACGGTATGCAGGTTATATTATATTATAATATTTTATATTATATTATTATATCCCCTCTAGCATGCAGTTGAGTTCAGTCTCAAGTGTTATTTTTCAAGATGAAATTGTTTCAAAGTTGTTTCTTCTTAGTTACAAGTTAATTTTATTAAGTATACTTCAGTAAATTTCAAGGATATTTTTGTCACAGTCACCAGCTGGGGTGTCCAGGTTGACCACTAGTGGGCACTTCTTCTCTGACCTTCACTCAGCCATGAACTTCAGTCCCCATAATCCTTTGCCCAGACTCGTCATGAATTATTGCATTCACCTGTTTGTCAGTACATTGTTTTTCTCCCTACTTATACCATGTTCTCTCTGTCATTTCTCATTGAGGTTTTGTAATTGTTACACTGCATGTCTGAGCACTCTCCCTTGTCTCGTGTAATTTTGTGGATTGTGGAAGGGTTTTGACCCATTGCCTGGCATGACTACGATTCTGGATTTTTCAATAAAGCTGCGCTTGGTCCTTACTTAAGCATCAGAGCAATCCATGACAATTTTTTAATTAATTATATGAACAGACTATGGTATATTTCTAAGTGTACTATTTCAGTACTTGGGACTGATGTGGCCCACTTTTTAGTGTACAAAAGAATACTTTTTAAGTGTAACACTAACCTTTGCAACTTATGATTTACTAGGTAAATACTTGTAGCACATTTTATGAAAGTAGCACATTTTACTTCTTTAATATTTTAAACTGCTTATAAGTTTACTTTAGGTGAATTTCCGGTGAATATATTCATTTTTATACTTAAACTATACCTTTAACAGTGTATGTTTGAGGAAAACTTTCAATACTTTTAAGTACTTTAAACTTTAAAGTTAATTAATTTGTACCAGTAGACTACACAAAGTTTTCTGTCAGTATAAGTCAAGTATTTAAGTGTAATTTTAAGTGTAGGCTATTTCTGAGAAGTGCATATTATGTAGACTGAAACTAGGCTATACTTATTTCTAGTTTACGTTATAGCTTGTATAGCTTATTTCTAGTAATAGCACACTTAAACTTCTGTTTTGTAAGGGTCAGTTTGAGCATTCAGCCTGAAGACTGTTTGCAATGATTTTTCACTAGCGCTTATTATGCCCACATCACGTTTCAAAACCGGAAACTGACACCCCATCCTGCTCATTTCGTGTTGTCAATGACTTCTTGTACGAGACAAAGGTTAGTAATTCAAGTTTCTCTTGCCAACTCCATCTGAACGATTATAAATGGGTTTGATTATTCACTTTGTCATGTGTGTCGACTGCATTTTTCATGCTGCCTGATAAGCAAAACACAACAAGCACTTCATATGAGTGTAAATCTGCCCATAATTGCTGGGCTCCTCGGTATTGTGACGTTTCCATGGCAATTAAGGTTTCAGATTAGGCAATGGATTAGGTTTGGATTATCTGGGGATTACGATGGATGATCGCAGCAGTCAAAACAAGTTAATTACGCTCTTCATCCATTTATTTCAATCAACTTTGATAAACATAGAAAACTCAATATTGCACTCTAGTGGAGGAGTTGGACATTACACTGAGGCGTGATTAGTCAGACTCATGTAGCCTACTGAAGGTGCATGCATTCATTATATTAATACTATTTTATAGTGTCCGCACCAAATACCAGATGTGTTTTCATTATGTCCAATAAGGATCCAGGTGGTTTGACCGCAGAATTATCAGGCTGAACAGAGGCTTCATTTCATGGAAAGATTCTTTTAAATGAGCTCATTCTATTCAGCTTCATTTACAGCTCACTTAAATGTGATGGAAAACGTCCTTGTACTTTTTATGATTAAAGATCAGCTGTTAGCCAGATTATGCAGGTATATTACAGCTCGCTGGAGTCATGAACTCCAGATATGAAATGTCCAGTCCATGAAATGTACAGAACTGTCATGTCTGTTCTGATCAGTCTTTTGGGATTGTACATCTCTATGGACCGGTAAGAAGTGTGAACTGTTCAGTCTTTGGTTGACTGTCATTTAAATTTTAATGATAATTGGAAAAAATCCCATTAAATGGGCATGAGCTATAATAGGTGGGTATTTTTCTATGATTATAGCTAGCTATATTGCATTTATATTAATGTCCCATTCCCATAGACTTCCCTTCCTATCTTAATACGCCTACATGAAAGCTCTTGGTGCATTTTCAGTAAATGTTGCCTTTTTTTTACAATTAAGAGGCGTCATTTAATGACAAAATAACAGGCTTCTGAACATGAAGATTCAAGATTCTTTATTGTTACTATACCAAGGATTGGAGCAATCCTTACATTGCCATCACATATAACTTTAGTGTTTGAAAACATAATATTTTGGTTAAAAAAATTGCAACACTAAAGGAGTAGTTGACTTAAAAAAAAAAAAAAAACTTTTGCTGATAATTTACTCACCCCCATGTCATCCAAGATGTCCATGTCTTTCTTTCTTCAGTCGAAAAGAAATTAAGGTTTTTGATTAAAACATTCCAGGATTTTCTCCATATAATGAACTTCATCGTTTCACTTGATAAGACCCTTATCCATCGTCTGGTGTCGTTTAAAGCCCTTTGAACAGTTTGCAGTTTGCACTGAAACTCTCATTTGGACCTTGAACCGTTTGGTTCCCATTGAAGTGCATTATATGGAGAAAATCCTGGAATGTTTTAATCAAAAACCTTAATTTCTTTTTGACTGAAGAAAGAAAGACATGGACATCCTGGATAACATGGGGCTGAGTAAATTATCAGCAAGTGTTTTTTTTTTTTTTTTAAGTGAACTACTCCTTTTAATTATATTTTTCAGTGTATAAGACAATGTGCAATATATATATATATAATTTTTTTTTTTTTACATAATATTTTTTATTTACAATTGTGCCATGACATTTGCCCTTTGAATAATCAAGGTTTCCTCTTTTGACATTTTTGAATGAGTGACGAGATAAAATGATTCAGAGGTAAGTTTGTCTTAGGGTTTGTATCAATATCTTATGGATTATGTCATAGATTCATGCATCCAATTTTTACAGATAAAACCCTAAATAAGTGTTTCATTTTCATACGTCACTGTGACTTTAAAAAGTATGTATGGTTTCATCCACAGGTGATCAAGCTGCCTTTGTTTTCTGTTACAGGGCAATTACTAGCGTTGTTAAAAGGCTCCTGATATCAAACACCCGGCCCGTGGATCAAACACCCATCACTCAGGTGTGAGTTATTGCACCTGTGCTGAAAATGCACCGGTCGTGTGCAAGTGCACTACAGCTGATGATCCTCCAAACCAGCCCTGTGTGCGAAGAGAAGGATCTGTGACGCTTAATTCAGGTAGACAAGTGTCAGCTCTTTAACACCATCTGGATGGATCATTTCCATGCTTCTCTCCCTGTAAGGTCTTTATAATGGGAAGTAGTTCTGGCAAAGTGTTACCCGAGCCCTCCAAAAATGGATGTTTTTCTCTTATCAACTCTGTTGTGAACTTCAAGAAACAAGAGACTGACAGGGAAAAGTGTGACGAGAAACAACAAGCTTGGCTTTGGAGGAGAAGAAGTGGTAGAAGGGCTTCCCGAGAAGGAAGATCAGAAGGAGTCAAGGAACTGGATCGTCTGGAGGAGAGGATGAGGAATCCTAACGCAAAGTTTCGTGCAAAGTTTGATCCACGCGTCACTGCGAGGTACTGATGATGTGCTTGCTTTGAGTGTGTTCAGAACAGCACACTACCATACTGCAAAAAATAGAATGAGCAATACGTAGAATGGACACTTTATGGTGCACAGTATCTGAATTTTATGTGTGTATTTGCAATGGTATATTTGAAGTTTAGCAAAAATATTATATATAAAGTTCAGTTTCCATGGTGATATTAAATATAAAATATATGCACTACTGTTTTAGTTTGCGGCGGGGAAGATTTTTTGACTAATATTTTTGAAAGAAGTAGGCTACCTTATGCTCACCAAGGCTGTGTTTATGCATTAAAAACAGTAATGTTGTGAAATATTATTGCATAAATTATTTAAAAATGCCATTTTTATTGCTAAGCTGATTTTTCAGCACCCATTACTTCAGTCTTCAGTGTCACATGATCCTTCAGAAAGCTCTTTTTTCTTTTTTACAGGAATATTTTTTTTCAACAACAATTCACAACAAAAGTGAACAAGCTCCAAATAATTTGACATGGTGCTGCATTGCACTATGCACTTTTAATTTTCATTGTGACAAATTAATTGGTAATAATCTCAGCTGCAGTTTCACTGTAAAAAAATATTTTCACGATTTGTAATCACAACATTTTGTCTTTTGTCAAATCAACCTAATAATTTATATAGTTCAGATAACAAAATATTTTGAGTTTCTGATGTTTAAATCAATCTCCTTCATTGTATTAACTCAATTTTTCCATTTCAATGAATTTAAAATTTTAAGGTTACTTATTTTTTTAAGTTAAACCAACAATATTTTTGTACAGTGTTGTTAAATCTATATAGTAGCCAGTATACACGCAGTATGCATAAACAGGAAGCTATTATTGCATTCCTAACATAACCTTTATGAACAATTCTTGACAATGCCATAAACTTTATTACTTTAGACTGGATGACCGAATTAAGCTATCAAACACGACATGTCAATTAAAGCTCTCTGCTATAATGAAATGCTTTATCATATTTATTAGTCCACCAGTGCCCCTCTCAGCATTTAATATCAGGCTAAAAGTAATAATGAAATGTAATTTATGAAATAATGAGATGTAATTTAATTTGATCCATCCAATTACAGCCGCACAATAGTCTATCATAGCAGATGCTTTAGTGTTCAACAGGGTTATTATAATTAACTAAAAACTAAAACCATAAAAAAACATTTTCATTACTTGAAATAAAATAAATGAGAACTGATATGAAATAAAAAAGAAAAATGACTTAGGCCTAATTATAAATCACTGTAATTTGTTGTATAACTTATTTTATTTCAGCTAGTTGCCACGGAAACATTTCAAATTTTAATTTAGTTTAACATGTACTGAAATAAAACTGAAATAACAATGAATAAATTATTTAGGCAATTTAAAAAAAAAATGTCAAAAAGTAAGAACGTAAAAAGTAATTATGCTTTTTTTAAATGTTCAACTTTCTTTAGTTTGTAATTTTGCTGTTTGAGCATGATAAAGATCTGCAAAGTTACAAAGTACAGTCACTCCAAAATGAGTTATTCTCAGTGTCACTGTTTCTGAACTTCATGAAACGCCTCCATTAGTCTTGAGTCACAATAATCCTCATTTAAATGGAAAAGACATGCAAAATAAAAAGGTGTGAGGCCTGGTTAAGTTGTGTTAACACCGTGTTGATGTAAGGGTACAGTTATGGTAAGGGCTGTGGCATTTCTGAAACACATTCAGACCAGTTGACCAATCACAACACACTGCTCCAGCTGACCAATCAGAGCACATTGCACTATTCAGGAGGAGGGGCTTCATAGAGACACGAACTAAACAGAGTGTTACTGACAGACTGGAATAGTGTCAAATATATGAAAAATAATGTGTTTAAAGCATGAAAACCTTGTCTAGTAGACCCCTAAAACAAAATCCAGACCATAGACTGAAACAGATATACATATTTGAGAAGATGACGGCGGATTTGCAGTTTAAATCTGACTTTTTTCGACAGAAGTGGGCATTAATTAAAAATTTGCTGGAAATAAATAGACTTAATATATGTTAATTTATGAATAATGCAGATAGTGTACTGGTATGCGGTGTATTCTTTGAAGTGCTATCAAGGGCTTGTGTTTTTTTGTTTTGTTTTTTTACGTTTTTGATTGATTTATTTTTATTTTATTTATTTTTTCTTTTTCTTTTCTTTTTCTCTGTATAAGAAAAGTTCAATAAAAACATAGTTAAAAAAATCCAGTGTAAAAGGGCATTATATGGCCTCTTAAATAACTCTAATAGTCTCTAAATGATCCTAAAATAGTGTTTTTATATGTTCTAGGTATGACATCAAGGCTCTGATTGGCTGTGGGAGCTTCAGCCGTGTGGTTCGTGCTGAGCACCGGCGCTCGCGCCAACCCTTCGCCATCAAACTTCTGGAGGTCAAAGGTCGCGAGGGTCACGAGGCCTGTCAAGCAGAGCTCGGCGTCCTGCGACGGGTGAACCACATAAATGTCATCCGCCTGGCTGAGGTGTTCGAAACGCCACATCGCGTCTACCTGGTTCTGGAGCTGGCCACCGGAGGAGAGCTCTTGGAGCGCACGCTCGCCCGAGGAACCTTCAGAGAACGGGACGCCACCAAAGCCTTGAAGATGGTGGCCAGCGGGCTGTGCTATCTCCACTCTCTAGGCGTCATCCACAGGGACCTCAAACCTGAAAACCTTCTGTACTACCACCCGGGACAGGACTCGCGCTTGATCATAACAGACTTTGGGCTCGCTTGTTGGGACAAGACGCCGGCCTCATTTCAAAGCAAGGAAGATACAAGTGTTTCAACTCACGACACGAGCTGCGACTCGTCCTTTAGCACTGTAGACTTTGAGAAGAGCCGTCAGAGTAAAGATTGGGCTGTGAGGACACTCTGCGGGACACCGGAGTACCTGGCCCCTGAGATGCTGGCTCAGACACCCTGTGGCCGTGCTGTGGATATGTGGGCGCTGGGCGTCATCACTTACATCGTGCTGAGCGGATCACTGCCCTTCGACCAGAGCAGCCGACCGAGGCTCTTCAGGGCCATTCTCAGGGGCAGCTTCAGTTTCCATGGTGATGTGAGTGTCAAAATACCTTTCCTCACTGTTATCTTGCAATGAGCACAAATGCACACATTCAGTGGCCTAAAAAGTATTTGGACACGTAAGACTAAGGATGAACCGATTTTTTTATAACCGATAACGATTTTAAAAGAGTAATTTACTCACCCCCATTTCATCCAAGATGTCCACGTCTTCCTTTCTTCAGTCAAAAAGAAATTAAGGTTTTTGATGAAAACATTCCAGGATTTTTTTCAATATAATGCACTTCAGTGGGAACCAAACGGTTCAAGGTCCAAAAGACAGTTTCAAACTGCAAACTCTTCAAACGACACCAGACGATGAATAAGGGTCTTATCAAGCGAAATGATCGCTCATTTAAAAAAAAAATAACAAAGTTTAAGTTTTATAAGCTCAAATGCTCGCCTTGCTCTGTTCTGTGATGCGCGTTCGTGACTTTCCTGTTCGAACTCGTTCATCAAAATGAACGAATCTTTTTTCGAGTCATTTGGTTCATTCAACAAACGACCCTTATTCATCATCTGGAATCATTTAAAGCCCTTTGAAGCTGCTCTGAAACTCTCATTTGGACCTTGAACCGTTTGGTTCCCATTGAAGTCCATTATATGGAGAAAATGCTGGAATGTTTTCATCAAACACCTTAATTTCTTTTCGACTGAAGAAAGAAAGACATGGACATCTTGGATGACATGGGGGTGAGTAAATTATCAGCAAACTTTTTTTTTTTTTTTTTTTTTTTTTTTTATGAACTACTCCTTTAACTATTGGCCGCTTTACAACATTTAGAAGTTATTTTTTGCTAAAGAATATTTCATAAAACAACATTATTTTACCCAGAGAAAAAAACTGGATTATGCAGTTAATAAATATAGCCGATACATTGTTGCATCTCTGCTTAAACATGAAATTGTCTGAATCTCATTGCATTAGATGCAGTTTTAAGTAAAGTACCAAATATTAAATCACGATTTAAGTGACTTTTTTAAAAACATTAACAAATCTTACCGACCCAAACATGTATAAATTCCGTTTTAAAGCCATAATTACATGTAATACATTTTTTAACTGACTAACTGTATCCAAATACTTTTTGGGGCAACTATTTTGTGGTATATATATTTTTTTTTCTTTGTGTACTTATGATCTTCATAATCAAAATTGAGCTTGTGATGGCCTAGACCACCAGCACTTAGACACCTGGAATGAACCAGAGCAATGAAACATTCAGCCAAGTGTAAAGTAAAGGGCAAACAGGGTTTGTGTGTGTGGGAAGGTGAAATCTGGTCACCTGTGTAAACAGCCACCAGCTACCTGACTTATGTGTGGCGCCCACCCACAGCTCGTCAGCTTGCTTTGTCTCAAGGGTGTGTGTGTGTGTGTGTGTGTGTGTGTGTGTGTGTGAGGTTAGAGGTGGTAATCAGAAAGGAAGGAGAGGGTGAGAGGAGCTTCACCACAGGGCTTTTGTCGCCTTTAAACTGCAAACACACACAGACACGCACATTTCTTTATCACTTCTAACCCCCTAGAGCTGTGAAATTATAGGTGCAATAGTACAAAACAATAATGCTGTTGTCTTAAAGAGAAATAAAATAAACTTGGAAGCTTTTTATAATCCTGCTGCTGCTAAATAAGTATTAATGTCATTTATATATTCTAAAGGATTAGGAACACCTGTTCAATTTCTCGTTAATGCAATTATCTAACCAACCAATCGCATGGCAGTTGCTTCAATGCATTTAGGGGTGTGGTCCTGGTCAAGACAATCTCCTGAACTCCAAACTAAATGTCAGAATGGGGAAAAAGTGATTTAAGCAATTTTGAGCGTGGCATGGTTGTTGGTGCCAGACGGGCCGTTCTGAGTATTTCACAATCTACTCAGTTACTGGGATTTTCATGCACAACCATTTCTAGGGTTTACAAAGAATGGTGTGAAAAGGGAAAAACATCCAGTATGCGGCAATCCTCTGGGCGAAAATGCCTTGTTGATGATGAGGTCAGAGGAAAATGGGCCGACTGATTCAAGCTGATAGAAGAGCAACTTTGACTGAAATAACCACTCGTTACAACCGAGGTATTCTGCAAAGCATTTGTGAAGCCACAACACACACAACCTTGAGGCAGATGGGCTACAACAGCAGAAGACCCCACCGGGTACCACTCATCTCCACTACAAATAGGAAAAAGAGGCGACAATTTACACAAACTCACCAAAATCGGACAGTTGAAGACTGGAAAATGTGATGAGTCTTGATTAAAGTAAGTAACCAAACCCTAATCCTATCCCTAACTCTATAGTACATTTAGTTAATTAATATTACACTGTACTTACTTACGCAAGACACCTTAAAATAAAGTGTAACAAAGTTCAAAAATATGTGAAACAATTGTAAGAACTTGCTGTGTGCAGTTTTGCTATTGATTTACGTACAGTTTCTGATGTATTCATGTTTCCACGGATTTTTCATTTAAATTCTGTTTTTAAACCCTGCGGCTACTTATATTTCCTGTATATTAATGTTAAAGTTAATCAAAAGATCTCGAAGTGGCGACACACTGTGCGCTGAACCCACCTGGTCATTTAGAGCACGTGTTTCATCTCTCTCATTTAATACTACACAGATTATACTCGCACTTATTAATGACTCTGGAGAACGCTACACAACAAAGTTGAAAAACTTTGGACTAAACCTTTTTTTCATTAAAGCCTCATTGCAGAAATCCTTTTTTATCTGCGCCTCAGAGTGAATTCAAATACTGTGCTTTGGTGTGTAATTAGAAACCAGTGAGCCATCCTTTATAGGTTAAACACATGCAGGCACGCGGCGCACGGACCCATGTTTCTGCTCAGATATAACCACATGAATACACAATCGCTCTTCAGGACAGAATGATAGATTGAACCACACAACACCAGAGGTAGTTGTTCAGCTCTCACTATGTTTTATTGATGTCAGATTTCTCTCTTTTCCTTGATGAAATTGTTGGATTCTTTGTTTAGACCACAGCAAGACTAATGCACCTTAATGTTTTCTTGTAAAACTCGTACACGCTTTCTTTTTCTTGAACGCGTTTCTGTGTGTTTGAATGAAACTTGCTCTTTAAAACCCATTTGTCTGCAACAGACTTGCAATTGTCAATTTCATGGCTGATTAATTGTAATTACTGGATATATATGTGTGTGTGTGTGTGTGTGTGTGTCTGTGTGTGTGTGTGTGTGTGTGTGTGTCTGTGTGGCCCGGCCCGGGTAAACATACATTGTGGTGACAATGTAGAAAGAAGTGTAGTCTAAAAAATGCTGGGTTGTTTTAACCAAATTTTGGGTCAAATATGGACAAACCCAGCCATTGGGTTAAATTCCATTTTTAACCCAATGTATGAGTTTGTCCATATTTGACCCCAAATTGGGTTAAAACACCCCAGCATTTTTTAGAGTGTAGTCATTTTTGACCTTGTGCATCCTCAGAAAAAAAAATGGTACAAAAGCTGTTACTCTTAAAAAGGTTGTTTGTACCATTTAGGTATTACAGTATATGTAAGCTACCCTTTTGGTAACAATATGCACTATGTGGGTACAAAGGTGTACACTCTAAAATTGCTGGGTTGTTTTAACCCAACTTTGGGTCAAATATGGACAAACCCAAACGTTGGGTTAAAAATGTAATTAAAATATTTAACCCAATGGCTGGGTTTGTCCATTTTTGACCCAAAGTTGGGTTAAAACAACCCAGCAATTTTTAAAGTGTACCTTTTGAAAGGGCTTCCACCCCAGACTTTGTGTCCCCATGAGGAAAACAGCTTATAAATCATTGCATGTTTTTTTTTTTTTTTTAAATGTAAAAATACCCATTTTCTGTGATGGGTAGGGTTAGGGACAGGAATATACAGTTTATATAGTATATCAATTATTATGAATGTGGTAAGTCCCCATAAAACATGGAAAAACAGTGTGTGTGTGAGAGAGAGAGTATGTTCCTCTGAGAGCTTCTCAAAAAACAGAGATGGTAAACTCCCTCAAATTAGCGGTGAGTCACAGATCTATTCAAAACCGGTGACATTTATTGACTAATGTCTTCACATTCAGACTGCGACGAGGCGAAAATGCCAAGTTATATATCTAATGCAGCTTAAGAGGCAGAAGCGTCGGTGGCACAGGTCAGTGGTGGTCAGACGCCGGCGGTCCGGTCTCCATTCAGGCAGAATCTGTGTGTGTGTGTGTGTGTACTTAGTGACATTTACAGCCATAGATGTGCAGTGTTGGCTCTCAGATCTGTGATGATGTGATGCTGTTCTAAACACAGACTGAATGCAAAACCTGCAATGACTGGAAAGTAATGTTAGTGTGTGTGTTCATGCAGGGAAAGTGTGTGTTGGAGGGCTTGCTGGGTCTGAGCTACAGGATTCTGATAAAGATATTTCATTACTTGGTGTCTTTGAATCATGCTCAGATCTGTAAAACATTCTCTCCAGATCGTTGGTGTTAATTTAAAATGTTCCTTTTTTTATTTAAAGTGGTTATTTTAAGGAATAATACAAATATATAAAAATATACTTTTACTTTCACAACTCAAAGCTTTCCCAGCTAGGTTTGTTTATATATGTAATATACATATCCACTAGCAGATATTAAAATTCTGCACACCCCTGTTAAAACAGCTTTTTTGTGTGATGTAAAAAAATGAAGAAAAGGTTCTATATAGATCCTTAAAAGGTTCTATCAGCACTACGTATTTGGAACCCCTAAAAGGTTCTATACTTCTAATATATAAGGTTCTTAGAAGGTTCTTTGTAACCAGGAAAAAGGTTCTATATGGAACCTTTTGGGTTCATTCATTATCATTTCTTTTGTCCTTTCCGGATTTCATATTATTGACAAACATCAAGACCCTAAAATGTATTTATGAATGCATGTGAATGATAACAAAATTTAAGATATGGGGGTTAGAATATGTCTATATTTATATCATTTTATGTAGTTAATCAATATCACACGAAGAAGAGTGCCATTTCAGTTTTTCTCCTCCAAAAATCAGCACGATTAAAATGTGATAAAGTTACTACAACAGTTTAATAAACCATAATTTAATTACAACTACAAAATGTTGCAGCATAATGTAATATATGAATGAACAATAGCCTATAAAGGACCTTTGTGCCAAAAGGGTTCTTTCTTGTCATTATAGAACCTTTTTTAGCATTAAAGGAGTCTTTGGGGGTTCTTCGTAATGCTTCATAACCCCAATGAACCCTTTTTTCTAAGAGTGTATGTTATTTCAGGATTACATGTAGGTTGTATTTTTATTTTATTTTTTTTTTAGTTGCAAAAGTTCTGATATCATCTATCTCTGTTTTATTGTTCACATTAGAACAATCAGGGGTGTTTAACAGTGTGTATTTGCACCATATTTATTTGTTTTCGATGTATTTGTTCTATTTTGTTTTGTTGAGCATGTAATTGATGACCTCATTAACATATGACTGACTACCCACATTCACAAATCACAGCAACTCTCCGTGTGTGTGTGTGTGAAAATCCTTTGATCATTCTCAATCTCTCTCTTTCAGCCATGGAAATCAGTATCTACATTGGCCAAAAGCTTCATCGATCACCTCCTGACCCTTGACCCCGAGCACCGCATGACCGCCGAGGAAGCTCTCAAGCACCCGTGGCTGGTCAGCATGGCAGCCTGTTCCTCTAACAAGAACCTACACCGCTCCATTTCCCGAAACCTCCAGCGGCGGGCGTCACGGGCCTCCTCTCGCTGCCCAAGCTCGGGCTCTACTCCCGGGTCACGGATATCGACGAGGTCTGGGTCACGGCCAGGTTCTGGGTTACGGTTACAGCGACAGGTCACAGTGCCTGAAGATCGCTGCTTAGTATAGGGTCAAGTTTGGGCTGGTTAGCGTGGACCCATGTGAGAGGCCCAAAGTGCTGACACTCATGTAAAAGAGAAAAAACAGCCTGTTTAATTCTGAAAATCAATGAAATTACATAATAATTGGACCTCCAGGAACAAAATTAAAGGATTAAAAATGTACATGATCCCGAATCCTTGTAGATTAACTTTAATGTAGAAATACAGAGTTTTTTAAAATGGTTTATCATCACTTATGCACCCATACTAATATATTTATGATGCATTGATAGTCTCTCCCGCTCATGATGAACTACTCGAGTTTAATGTCTCCTCTATAAAAGAAAAGCTAGGATCAGCACCTCTGCTCCGTTCTCCCATGTTCATTCCTTCATTAATCAGATGAGGATGAGCTGATTATATAAACTCATATTTTATTTTAAAATATACATTTTCACCCGTGAAGAATCGCACACCGGACTAAAATACAACTGTTCTGCAGGTTTTATGTCCTGCTTTTCTTCATATTACTGTTTTCATTTGGCAAAGAGCCCCTGCAGATTGATTGTGTGAAGAAGTTAAGATTTTTATTAGCAATTGATGCATTAAATTCATCAAAAATCAGCAAATCAGCATATTAGAATGATAAGACACTGAAGACTGGAGTAATGATGCTGAAAATTCAGCTTTGCATCACAGGAATAAATTACATTTTAAAATAAAACATTCAAATAATAGTTCATTTGAATTGTAAAAATATTTCACATTATTGCTATTTTTACTGTATTTTTTGAGCAAAGAAATGCAGCCTTGGGGTGCATTAGAGACTTCTTTCAAAAACATATGAAATAATGTGGGTCAATGTTTTACAAAAGCTCAACACTAGCTCTCTTCTGTCATGAATAACTGTTTTAAAACTGTGTTTAGAGTTATGAAGTAGCTTTATGGTGAAATATGGTAATGCCCTTGTAGAGAAAAAGAAAGATATGCAGTGAGTGCCCTCTGTTGGACAAATATTCAATTGCATAGATTTTTTTTTTTTTTTTTTTTTTGACATTACATAAGTAGGAAAATGAGGTCTCTTTGTTCAAACACATGTTTGTTCGAAAACACTAATTCTGATATGTGATAAAATGCTGTTAGGACCAACATTTTCTTATGCTTGTATTACTGAGAAACATTTTCATTTTCTCACCATTAGATATAATCGTCATTACATTTGTTTTCTTCTACCCATTTGTTTTTAATTTATTTTGAGTCTGTTTTATTTTGCTCTGGTGGGAAATATTTAAGCATCTTCATATAAAGCTGTTTTGTGCATTGGGCCGTTCTGCTCTCAGCTCAATATCTGTTAATGTGTGTGTGATGACTACTAAAGAAATCTTGACCATTACACAGAATTAGCAATAAAATAACCATGAAGACCTTGGCTGCTACTGAATTCCTGTGCTTTATTTATGAATCTAGGAATTCAATCTGTCAATTAAACCATGAGGAAAAAATGAAAAGAACTGCTTGATGGTTTTCTGCCATTTTTACTTGGCTCCATTATCATTAACTAAAACCAGTGTTCGGTGGAATTCATTATAAGTAATTAATTTCTGTTAATTTTTTTTTCCATGAAAAGGTAAAGTACGGGATTTTACTGAAATTAATTAGTTCTGATGTAATTGCATTAAATTGACTGTAGAACAATTCTATATATAACAATTGTACATTTAAAGAACGTTTATTAAAATGTAACATCTAAGGTCAAAATGTTTTTAATGTAGGCTAACCTCCCTTTAAATACTTTTGTCAGTACAAGAATAATGTATTTATATTGAATGTAATTTTATATCATCTATATTTGAAAGAATCCGTGTTGTTCAACTGCTCGAGGTTGATGGGATTTAGTAATTACAGTAATCTATGTTGAAGATGTAATTAGTAGCAAGTGATTAATTACTTTTTTAGAAGTAAAACTAAGCTAAATAAAGCATTTTCATTATTTGAAAAACTTAATTCACTTTAGCTATAGATTCCAAGGCAATATTTCTTATTTTCATTTAGTTTAACTTGATGTAATAGCATAACTAACTAAATCTGAAATCAAAATTAATAATAATAATAATTATATATATATATATATATATATATATATATATATATATATACGTATTTTTGACATGGATATATATATATATATATATATATATATCCATGTCAAAAATACACAGCAGAATTAATAATAATGTAACTATATCATATAAAAACATTCAAATTATTAATTAAAACTATATTCGTATCTCAATGACACTAAAACAACACTGGCTCCTAAGGCCTTATGGGATAGAATTTGGAGTATCTCATTTGAGTATTTTTCACCATTATTTTATCTATGTACCTATTTATTTATTTTCTGTTCAATGTTGGGTCAGTTCATTGCTTCATGACCCTATTGAGAACCGTTGGCTTATAACAGATTAAAGGTCAAAGGTCGATGATAACAGCATCTGCTAAACGAATAACTGTAAAGGTCAAGCGAAATGTAAAAGTCCGAATTCTGCTCATTGACCTTCGCTCGCTGTGTTACTTCCACTTCACCATATGGCGGCTCCCACATAGTGCTTGAGTTGTATAAACTACTTTAATGGTACTTTTTTGCCATTTCTGGACAGTTCTTGTGTCCGTTTACTTCATTGTATGGATGAAAACTCCATGAACAGTGAGTAAATAATGACAAAATGTTTATTTCTGACCAACTGTATCCTTAAACTGTAAATTAAAATGAACATGACATTGATGCAACCCACCAAATCCAATTATTTGTTTTATTACAATGTATTATGTGTGGACGTCTGCAGGATAAATCTCATGAGGAAGTGGAGACAACGCGCATGTCTATTATTGACCACTAGAAGGCGTAAGGAGATCGAGGTCTTACAATCACGTGACTGACTGACAGGAGAGGAGTAGCGCATCACAAGGAGGAGTAGTGTGTGAGTGACCTACAAGCCAGAACAGATAGCTACAGTGAAAATGAATGCTAAACTAAAGGTTATTAGGTTATTTATGCATAAGATTAAGGCGTTCATAGCACATCAAACAATCTTGGTAAATACTTTGCATATGAACCTTTTCCATATTGTGGACTTCAGTATGAGTAGGCTACAGGGAAAAAGAAGATAATTTAAAAAAGAAGATTAAAAACAAGGAATAGAGAATGTTAGACAACGATGGAAAGAGAAGGCACTTGTTTGGGAGGGAGATAAAGCTTTTCCCCCAGTGAATGTGTTATATAACAGGGAGACCACTTAGGCCTAGAAATGAGAGACAAACATGGCCTCTGGAGTAACACTGCTGTACTGTCAACACTGTTCATAGACAGCCTACTATTGGTTGGTAAAAGCAGTTGGATTTAACTATGCAGCAGTTACTTGTTTTTATGATAATTAAAAATGTAAATCACTTATTAAATATTTAAAGCACATGAATCAGTGTTTCACACCCATTACATCTGTAATGCCACATTCTTCAAAATGATGTCAGCTGAAAAGTTGTTTCAGAGGAAGAGCAAATTATTATTATTAAAGATTACAATAGAAATAGTATAGAAAAACTTGTTTGTGTGGAATAACATGCACAGAGAATCGTTCCCAATAACATCAGGGCCAAAAAATGTGAAAAAATAAACCAACAGTTGTATGGTTTTGAATTAATTTAAACAAAGAACAAAAGTATAACGATGCTTCACTATTTTTAATACAAAAGAGAAGGCAATAACAGGAAACCCTTTAAATCAATCACTGACCAAACCAATCATAAGTTTTGGAACCCATGTCAATATTACTCAGATAGCGTCAGGCAATTACAAATGTGTCGAATTGAAGTGAAGAGTATTACAGATAACTTCCAGTCAGAGGTGCTTTGTGGGTGTAAAAAGTCATAAAAGTCCTTCACTACACGTTGAGACAAGTCCGTGATGGCTCGTATTGCTTGTTCTGAGACATTATTAAACTCTGAGTCACTGTAACCCAGCAAGAGTTTTCCTTCCAAGAAAAAATTACATACTTTTCATACTGTGTCTGATTCATTCATTCAGTTTTATTCAGTATAAGTATAAATACTTATATAAATATATATATATATATATATATATATATATATATATATATATATATATAGTGCTGTCAAATCGATTCATCGTGATTAATCACTAACAAATATTTGTATAGGCCTATATATATAATCGCATCTAACATATAAGTTTGTGTCTATGTATATATATATATAGATGCGATTAATCATGATGAATCGATTTGACAGCACTATATGCAAGTGCTGTCAAATTGATTAATCGCAAATAATTGCATCCAACATAACAATTTGAATATATATATATATATATGTGTGTGTGTGTGTGTGTGTGTGTGTGTGTAATTAGAATATAATTAGTATATATATATATATATATACTTACATACACAAACTTATATGTTAGATGCGAAATTATGACCAATGAAGATGCAAAAATTCATTCATTCATTCAAAAATTATTCATTAATTAAATAAAATATAAAATTAGAATAAAAATAAATAATTGTTATAATAAAACCAATCCAAATAAAACCCTTAATAAAAGTGACAAATACTTATAAAAATGTCCACCTAAATGCTTGTGTGTGTTTAAGTTTCCCTGTATGAAGCGACCTCTCTTCCTGCCTCTCTCAGTGCTCGACCAACCCCGCTGCTCTCCACAGGTGATCGCTGTCTCTCTCCAGCCAATGAAGACGAGAAATGTATTAACCCTTTAGTGGACAACCAGATCTTTCCAGGACTGTGGACTGAGCTGGACTTCATCGTAAAACAAACGTTTGGTCGGTACTTTTGCCAGCAGTCTCGAGTTGAGTTTAATTTAAAGTGAACGCGCAGTGGATGTGTGCGCGCTGCGGCCGTCGGTGATCGCGCGCGGATTATTATATCATCATCGGGTTTATGAAGACGGATTTTCTGCCGCAACATTGATCCAGATCTCATTCCAAAAAAAAAAAAAATGATTGTAGAGTTAGACATGCGTTTGCTGTATGTCCTCTTTTCTCCCCACAACTCCCCAATCCCCCTCGTATGGCTTTGGAAATCTGGTCTTGACATGTTTAAGATGAAATATCACCATCCACCCTAGTGGAAAAAACTGGTGAGTTACTCTTTTCAGTGTTATTATAGGCAACTTTTCTTTTGATTACATTGAAGGATTATGAGATTTTAGCTCCACGTCAGATTATGTTGTTCCTGGTTTGGTCAAGAGCTCTTATAGGTGTTAATAAACTGGCATCTAATGGCCTGTTATTGTGTATTTTCAGTATAATAAACCAAACGCACCACCTTCTGTTTGACCTCATTACAATGAGAGTATATTGCTGTTAAAGATGGACCTCTTTAAATAAGGGTTGTTCTTGTATTGGTGCCATTTCCCCCCCTGTTGTGAGCTCTGGAGTTGAACACAATGGAAATTGTACTTTTTTCATTGTTCATATGTGTAAAATCGATGTGTTTGATGCATATAATCCTACTGAAAACAGCTTAAACCAGCCTAAAACTGTTGGTCTCCCTGCCTGATGTGTTTTCAAGGGGTTTTAGCAGACCAGTCCAGCTGGCCATCCAGCTAAACCAGTTGAGAA